TCCAGAAAATACAGTTACTAATTTTGATGACATTAATGTCAAACAACGCACATTTTCTACGCAATATTATTTTGTTATGAGCCCAACTGGTATTAAAATACCCAGATCATGGTTGTGCTATTCAGTTGATCTGAAYAGAGTTTATTGTGAAACTTGTTGGCTATTTGCAGACAGAAACTATCCTAAATTTAATTTAAATTGGATAAATGGCTTGAATGATTGGCAGCATTTGTCACAGAAAATTAAAGCACATGAAATATCTATTCAACACATTAATGCTGTCAAAGTCCGAATCCTTTGGGTAAAAAATCAGACCATTGATAAACAACTCGAAGAGCACATTTCATTAGAAGCAAAATATTGGAGAGATGTTCTTACCCGAATTATTAAGATCATATTATTTTTGACATCGGGAAATACCGCTCTTCGTGGTAACGAGGGAAAATCAGGTACTAGTAGAGAGGATGAAGGGAATTTTTTGCGTACAGTCAGATTAGTAGCTGATTTTGATCCAGTTTTAAACAAACTTTTGAGTGACGAAGAAACTCGAGTTAAGTACTTGAGTTGGAAGGTTCAAAATGAAATYATTGATTTATTAGCAACAAGCATGAGAAAAATTATATGTGACGAAATTCGATATAGTCAATGTTACACAATTATTATGGATTCCACCCAGGACATTTCAAAAACAGATCAGGTTAGTTTCATACTRCGTTATGCAGTAGTGAACTATGCTGACTGTACGTTTGAAATAAAAGAATCATTTTTAGGATTTTTTACATTGAACCACCATGGAGCAGAAGCTCATGTAAATTTAATTAAATATATACTTAATATGTTTAATTTAGAATTGAGCAAATGTCGARGACAAGGCTATGATGGCGCAGCCGTCATGAGTGGTAGCCATTYAGGTGTACAAAAAAGAATCAGTGATATAATTCCTAGTGCATCCTATGTTCACTGCAATGCACATAACTTAAATTTAGTTTTATGTGATTTGGCTAAAAGTACACCAAAAGTGTCACAATTTTTTGATACTCTACAAGATATATTCTTATTTTATAGTAAATCAGCACCTAGATGGGCATCATTAGCTCTAGGGGATTCTGTTGCTAAAATTGTTTTAAAGAAGGTATGTACTACCAGATGGGAGGCTAAGCATAAAGCTGTGTATGCTCTGAAAACTAGATTCATAGATGTATTAAAGTCACTATCCAATTTATCTTTAACAAGTCTCAAAACTGATGAAAAATTAAAAGCAAGCTCATTGAAGAAAAAAATTGAATCTWATGAATTTGTCTTATTATTAACTATTTGGGAAAATATATTGAGAAGTTTTAATYTAGTATCTAAAAAATTACAATCCTCCGATATTCRTCTTCATAATGCATGTAATTATTTGAAAGAGGCTACATCTAGTATTACAAATTTAAGAGACAAATATGAAGAATTTGTTAATTCATCAAATACTGTATGTAAAGGATGGGGCATACCAATTCAATCTACTGTCCGACGCCGTATTTATTCAAAACRATTTTTTGACGATGTTGATGGTGATAGAAGACTTGACATTACCAGTGAAAACTTCAGAGTATTAGTTTTTTTACCTATAATTGATACAGCAATTGTTCAAYTTAGAGAAAGATTCAACAGTTTATATGAAGTAACCAATAGGTTTAACTTTTTGCTACCTCAAAACATTGTAATGTTTACTGAAAACGATATTATTAAAGCATCATATGATTTTCAATTATTTTACAAAGATGACATAAGTAGTGACATAACAAGACAAATATTATGCATAAAAAATATGTTTAATACTCTAAAAACAAAACATGATATTAAAGAACTATTGCAGTGTATTTTGGACAATGATATAGCTTCTACTTATTATGATATACTGTCTGCATGTATCATTTTCATAACATTACCAGTTACTGTGGCCACTGCTGAGCGTTCATTTTCGAAGTTAAAAATTATTAAGAACTATTTAAGAAATTCAATATCACAGGATCGTCTTACAAATATCAGTATTTTAAATATTGAAAGAAATC